GGGGGAGGGGGGGGCAGCTCGGCTCTTCAGCCCGGCCTGCACGGAGGTGTCCGGTGTCTGCCCAGATAGCAAAGGAGGCGAGCCCTTCTTCACCTCCCCCGGCTCCAGAGGCTTCCCCGAGGGAAGACCGGCGTGGAAGTGGACTTCGTGGCCGTGGGTTGGGGTAGCGGGTGTCTCCTGTAGGACCTGCTCCTGCGTGTCTGTACCCCAGAGGCTCAGATCGGCCTGGCCCGGCGGACTTTGGTCGTCTCAAAGGAATAAGCCTTTGACCTCTTCCGATTCGTACGGTCTGCCAAGTTTTCGAGGAGAGACATTTAGAAATTGCTGTGTAGGCAACTTGTGGCAGGACGTTTGTGGCCTTCTGGAGGCGCTTTACGTATGGATCTTTCACAAAAGGTTCATGGCTCCTATTTGAGATACCTTATGGCAAAATGTAGGAGTGAAAACGGCCTGTGATATGGACTAGGACCACATGCCATATAAGAATGCATATGTTCACGTCAGCTGTCAGTATTACATAAGTGCTTTGGCGCATAAATTTAGAGGGAGCGCATGATAGTCAGAAAATCTTAAGGTGGCTCCTACTGTAAAAGGGATTGTGGCCACTTCGGGCCTTACACAGACCGATTCTAACAATTTCCTCCTCATTTGCATTTACTTAGCTCCTTTAGGGACATAATTTGCAACTTCCGCCTTAATTCCAGTAATTCCGTGTGCATTTGACTGTGGTTAAGCAGCAGATAGTCTTCAACTAAACCTTTTCTCCAGTTTTCTGTGTCAAATATCTATCCTTCCACCCCCAAGCCCCGCTCTGAGGGACACTTTAATGGTGATTTTATTTAGATATTTCTTGACTATAGAGCCTTAATGCAGCCTGCCTTCTGCCAAGTAGGGAAGAAAAAAAAAATAGAAAATCATAAGTAAAATCCTCAATTCACCTATAACTGAGTGTGTTTGTGGGGAGCTCTTCACCTCAAAAGTAGAATAACTGAAACCTGAGTGTGTTTCATAATTTATGTGTGTTGAAAATAGAGGAAAATTACTTTGGAGCTGGGTGAGAAGAAATTCAGGCATGTAAATAAAACACTGGTCGGTTTTAATTTTGTGTTGATCCTTCAGACATTTTTGTTTGTCATTCAATATATTAGTATTTTTATTTCTTATTAATGTATCATAAACGAATAAGATTTTTTGCAAGACCTAGATCATGACTGACTCACAGGGTGTACCAGTCGCTTATTTTTGCACAGTTTGGCGCTGTGTTTGCATTGTATTTGTATTTTAAAAACATATTTCTGTAGGAAAAAAACAACAAACATTGGTACAGGTGCCTATTGTGCTTTTATTTAACTACCAGCCTGTCACAAATACTATGAAAGTATTGGAAAACCTCTCTTTCAGAACAGGGTTGCCATTTATGTGCTCTAAAAGTTTCCTTCTTAATGCCACCAGTTGGTATAGAGGCAACCGACATTGTTCTGTGTAAACTTACACAATCATGATTTTTTTTTAGCGCTGTCTTTGTTTCTAAACTACTTTTCCTGCTGCCTCTGCTTACTATGGAAAAGTTTTACTTGTCCTGTGTTAGTTCTTTCTTCAGAATATACTGAAATAGATATGTAGCTTATTCTTATTTTTAAAAACTCCTGCCAAAGAAGAGTAAACAAATAATGGTTGGTTTTGTTATACTCTTAATTCTATATCTGTGCTTTACTTTCCTCTTTTTTTCAGTTGTGCATGTACCTGTTTGAACACAGAATTCCTGCATATAACATCCAGCAACGGAAGCCGGTGGGTTTTGTCTTTTGCGAATCAGCTTAATTGTAAAACACATGCATACTTGCATGCTAATTGGGTTCAAAAATTGTGGCTTGGCTCATAGCACTCTAGACTTACGTGTTAATGTATCAGAGTTCACTGTGATTGTTGCTAAAACTTTAAAAAAGTGTCTATTTAACAGTGATCTGTAAATAGATTTGTGAGGGAGGTTTTTAGACTGATTGTATATACTTGATTGACTTCCTGTAGTAACGTATGTACGATATAGCATGAAGAACTAAATCCAGGTTTTGTCGGAGAGGATGTTTGAAGATTAAGGCCTCTTTCCAACAGAACACTCTTTAAGGAAATGGTTCTGTTCAGTCACTTGAGAGTTTATTTAAAACAGGCTTTATGACATGTTTGAAGCTATTAGGTGAAGATGAGTTGGCCTATTTAATCTTGATTTGTGTTTCGTAACAGTGTTACAGGGTTAGCATGAGAAAGCTATGTCTGCTTGCCAAACCAAAATAGTATGTGGGGGAATCTGAAGAAAAGGAATTATATAAAGAAATGGTTCTTTCTAGTTCTGTCATATTTGAGCAAACTACAGTAGTTGACTTGCATCTACAGATACCAGTGTAATGCTTTTGTCTTTTATGTGTTTTTGTCGATTTGGGTTTTTTCAGTGGCAGATGCGTCATTCAAAACAATCTCATTGTCCTGAATGGGACGACAGAAAGAGCTGGGATGAAAGAAAGCACAGTAGCAGCCGTAAACGCAGGAAAAGGTCCCACAGCAGTGGACAAGAAAGCAAGCACTATAAACCAAATCACATTTCAGAAAGGTATAAGACTCTGACTTGAGTAGCGTTAATGTTTCTTATCGTGTCTAAAATAAATACGTTTTGAGGATAAGAGTGTTTTAATGCCCAAAGTTGGCAGTTCCTTAAGGTCTGGCTCACTTCAAGACGAGCTTAAGAGGTAGCTGGTTTTGTTAACCTGAACTATTAAATAGAAATTCTTTAATAAAAACCAAGTAAATGTTAGTAGTTTGTTTCACTGTTGTCAGTTAAGTATTGGTATTGAATACATTCAATATTAAATTTCAAGTAAAAAGTATGCCTTTTCATTTACTTAATGTGAACAAAAGGAAGAGAATGTTTATTTAATCATTTAAGACAATGGTAAGTATGAGTTTCTCTTACTAATTTGGAGGTGGTTTGCTTTTTCTCCCACACTGCTTTCACTGGAAAGATGCGTATTTTCTGTTTTTTTCCTTGAGAAGAAGATTCCATGGAATGCTTTTAAAAGCTCATACTCATGCTTATAAAATTCTGGAAGGGGTAGGTGTACAGCAATACCGGGGCTCTTTGCCTCAGCAGCTTTCTTAAAGGTTGGGTTTTTTTTCTGTGCAGAAGATCCTTGATCCAGATACTCTCTGAGGGTTTTAATGTTTAATGCAGAGTACTAAGAACAATGCTACTTCTTTCAGACTCTAGTTTTTATTTTTCTTTTTTAACACTTTGAAAGCATAGAAGATTATTGCCGTATGGAGAGTGTTTTATTCTGTGGCTTTGGAGATTGTAAATGAGTTGCTTGATATATTTTTAGGAAGTGTTTCTCCTTTTTGAGTCTGAGTTTCTTATTTACTGTGCAAACTGTGGACGGATTATATATTGTTCGTATGGATGGCTGCTATGTATTTAAGACTGACAATGTTGTTAGATTCCTAATAAAGTAACATGAAAAGCTTCACTTTTTTTGGGGAGGGAGTCAATTAGAAAACATTTTTGTTGTAAAGACAGATACTATGTAACTCGATAACTCAGCTCAAGTCACTTATCTTGTTGGAACCTCAAGTTTTTGAAGTGGAGAACATTCACTTAAAATATATTTTCAGTCATTATTTGGACGATAGAGCCATAAATGAAAGAGACCATCATGACCGGAGATATGTTGAGGAATACAGAAATGACTTCTGTGAAGTATATGACCACAGGCATTATCACAGAGACTATGAAAAGAGTCACCATCATCACTATAGCAAATCCTCTGGTCGGAGCAGGAAAAGTAGTCATAAAAGGAAGCATAAGAGACATCATTGCTCCAGTCACCAATCACATTCGGTATGAGTAATTTTTAACTTTACTATTAATGCATTAGTGGTAATAGACTTCTTAAGTGAGGGCTAGGACTTCAATTCCTGGTCACAGTACTTTAAGAAATACTATATTATTAATAAAGGATTTGTAGTTGAGTCCATTTGTGAGCATATGAGTATGTTCTTACTTGAGACTTTTGGATCAGTGTTGGGTGGGGGGTGGGATTATCATCAGTACTAGTTATACAATGGGAATGTAGGTAGCCGGTAGTAAAGATCTCTGGGATTGATCAGAAAAATGTTATCTTGAAATGGAAAACAGGTAACTACCCTATTTCAAAGTACAGTTGTCCCTTTTTTGGTTTTACAGCATAGTGAGCTATGTTTTTTCAGGTAGACTGTGAGTTGCCATACATCCTATTACTAAAAGTAATTGAAGTGACATGCCTTTTTAATGTAAGCTTAATTGGAACTATAAAATGTGCATGTCTGGTAAATTGGTAAGAACAAGCTTTACAGTTCTACACCTGATTCCAGAAACTTTGATAAGCCAAGTGCCTGGCTAATGGCAGCTAAAGTCTTACTGGAGATGGGATAAGTTTGCTACTTGCCTTCTTTGAAGGCATGCTCTATGAATTTCTCAGTATTGGCATGATGCACACTGATAGATAGATCTTCAGCTCCAGGTGTTTTATGTCACATTTCTGCAGTAGAAAACAGCAAGTTGTGTTAGATTATACAATGCAAATTAAGGACTTCAGAACAATTTTTCTTCTCTGTCTAAACATGAGAGAAGTAAAATTACTTGATGTTTTTTAATGTTTAGGTTCTATAAAGCATATGTTTTAGAAGTAGAAACATTTAATCTGACTGTAAGCATAGATATGTAAATAAATACTGTTTGTTGCTATTTGCTAGCAAAGTATTAGAAATAGTGATGTTGCATTCTTAATCTGTCTTCAGTTAAGCCACAGTTTGAGAGACAAAATTGTGTTGTTTTTCTGTTGCTTTATCACTTTAAGTATTTATCTGAAAATCTGTTCCTTGCCATGTTTTTCTTCTGTAACATAAACTGTGCCCTGTGAATTTCTGGGGACTGAATTTGAAATTGCTCCTGCCAACTGTTCGTGGCCTGGTGTGTAACTGAATGCCTGAATATCTCCCCGCTGAATGAATTGCGTATTCTGCCCTGAATTCACTCTGATATATTGATTGGCTGGACGATCTTGGTGCCGTTTCCAGAAGAGTCACCGAAGGAAAAGATCCAGGAGTGTAGAGGATGATGAGGAGGGTCACCTGATCTGTGAAAGTGGAGACGTTCTAAGAGCAAGATGTATAGAACATTTTTCAACACTTTTTAAAAACTTTTCAGCAAAAAATCTGTTTAGAATAGTATGTCAGAGGAGGGGGGCTAAAGAAATCTTCATTGCTCTTTTTGTTCTGTTTTTTTTGTGCTTTTTTGTTTTTTTGCATATCTTCTTTTCTGTAGAATTTAAATACTGTGTTCAAAAAGTTCCAATTAGTAAATGAACTTGAATCTTGAGATTAGAACAAGAGATAGTTTTTTGGCTAACTGTTTTCATGACACCTGTCCAATAAAATAATGCATTCAGATGCTGAGATTTAAAGTAATTATGCTTTTGTAATGGCACATTTTAAAATCTACATTAATAATATTCAGTCTTGTTTAAGTAGTTGTATATTTCTAACTTGCGTTTGTTCTTTTTAGATGAAATTGTTGCAACTTTAGGAGAAGGAGCTTTTGGAAAAGTAGTGGAGTGCATAGATCATGATATGTAAGTGTCAGTTCTCTTTTATAAGTGGATCTCATGACAAAAGACACTCCTTAGCTCAGAAATTAAAGCTCAGGGACATTTTCTTTAAAAGAAGGTCACAGTTCAAATAAAAGCGTTGCAGTATATTTAAAGAAATTACACTGTTTTTGAGAGCTACCTTGTAAGGTAGCTCTTATTTTCAGTTGAAAATTTTTAAGGATTTTCAGGTAATACCAATCTGTCCCTAATCTTTAAGATTCTTCAGTCATCTTTTCCAATACTATAAATGTTAGTTGTTGCTTCTGTGGCTCTGTGAAAGGCCCTTGTGTGGTATTGACTTTATACAGGATGGTATATAGAGAAATACTTTTGGTTACTTTGTTTTTCCTGTAAGCTTTTGAGAATCTGTCTTTGGCAATTAGATTCCTTAACGGTGTGGGGGTTTTTTTGGGAAACATCTCTAGGCAGATGCCTTTCTAGGCAAAGGGTTTCTGTCAAAAATAAACCCTTTTATAACTATCTTTTTTTTTTTTCTATACACACTGTATAACTGTGTGGTGCAGACTACTAATTACTAAATAGGTGTTATCTGCTCTTTTTAAAGGGGGAGAGCTATGTTTTGCTTCATTATGTTTTTGTGTTGGTTATACAAGTGCCGTTGCCGTAACTAGAGAATTTGAGGGTTTGTAAAGAGTACAGGATTAATTTGGGAGACTGACTTTTAGAAGATGGTGCAATGAGATGCTGAGAAAGTAGTTTTGGTTCTTAGTGAAAGCAACTGCTTGCAGTTGGTCAAGCTGTAAATTTCTTTCCTCGGTCTCCATAATCAGAATTATCCTTTGAACTTTTTCTGATTGCACAGTCCTCCAGTATCCAAACCTTTTTTGATGGAATGGTTACTTCCGTGTGATGGCATGTTTGGTGGAGGAGAAGAAAATAACTGTATTTCCACTACTTCTGTATGTGCTAGGAGGTTTAAACAGTTAGTGAATTTCAGATTATTTGAACCATATGTTTTATATCTGCAGTTCTGTGAGATGGTTCTAGTGTTTTTTCTTCTGCCTTTGGTTGGTTGGTTCTGTTGTTTCTCAAGTTAAGTCTGTTCAGGAGCTTGAGGTTGTGTTTTAAGGGGAGACCATATTCTTAAGTCATTGGAATCTAAATACAGAGACAATTAAAAATTGTCTATCAGTGAAGGGGATAGACTGAACTGTATCAGAAATGTATCTGTGTTCCATTTAAGTAATAGCCTTATGGTTTGAGTGTTACACTGAGTGCAGGTCAGTTTTCACTAGTACAGAATACACAGAATCTGAACTTCATAAGTTATTCGATTCTCCTGATTCCATAGGAGCACTGGGAAAGAACCAGTGCCAGTTGCAGGAAAAAATGTCAAATTTTTGCAATACTTTCCTCAAATCACAACTCTGCTAAGTATTTTTTAATCATCTTGCGGGTGGATTCCTGATGTTTATTCTACCTTATATGAGATAATAAGACTGAGAAGTAGTTAATTTAGCATATACTATGGGTATGTGACAAAGGGAAGATCAGTATTGCATTTCTTTATAAATACAGTTCTGGTTAAGTGCAATGTGCTTAAGTCAAATTCCCATAATCTAACTCATAATTCTCTATGACCATTAATCTTCCTGTGTTTCTTTTATTAAAATGGAGCTGCTTTGGCGTTGTAGGTATTTAACAATAATTGGTTCAGTTTGTGATGCTTTACTTTCTTTTAAAGGAGAGGAATGCATGTAGCAGTTAAAATTGTGAAAAATGTTGGTAGATACCGGGAAGCTGCCCGTTCAGAAATACAGGTGTTGGAACACTTAAACACCATGGATCCAAGCAGCACTTTGTAAGTATAAAATTAGAATAATCAGCATACTAAAGATTTGCAGAAGATTATTCAATAAACTGAGTTTTCACTTCTTTATTTTTTTTCTTTTTTAAGCCGTTGTGTCCAGATGCTGGAATGGTTTGACCATCATGGCCATGTTTGCATTGTTTTTGAGCTACTGGGACTTAGTACTTATGACTTTATTAAGGAAAACAGCTTTCTGCCATTTCATATTAATGACATTAGAAACATGGCTTATCAAATTTGCCAATCGATAAACTGTAAGTAAATTTCAAGACTCTTACCAAGTATGTTCTTTTTTTTTTTTCCCTTTAGGAAATTAAAGTATTAATTATGGAATACTGTTCTTCTTTTTCCTTGTAGTTTTACACCATAATAAACTAACTCATACAGATTTAAAGCCTGAAAATATCTTGTTTGTGGAGTCTGATTACATAGTGAAGTACAATGCCAAAATGGTAAGTTTGTTCTTTGTTTCTCCCAACTTGAATTGGGCTACTTCTGTCTGCATCAGAACTCTTCTTAAAAAAAAAAAGTACGTGCAGAAACATCATGTACTGATTATGTTTCCTAGAATTTTTTTGTGCTCTTTGAGATGTACTGCTTTCTGCTAAGCGAGTAACTTTGCTGTAGTTCAAACTTAACTAGTGATTAGATGAAACAGTTAAGTTCTTTGTTGTTTAATGACATTCTGGCATTCATAGGGAGCATTGTGTTAATGGTTTTGAATTAGCCATTTTTTTTCCTTCCTATTTCTTACGCTGCCATTTGAATCCCTTTCTTTAAAGCATCCCTGTGTTTTGAGAGGAATGTCAGATCTTGCTTTCTGTCTGATTACCCTGGAGTCTGAAGTCCCTATTAGTTTTGCAGTCCTAAGATGAATTTTCTGTTTGTCGTCAACATGTGATGTTGATCATTGGGCAGTGTTATAATTGACATGGGCCCTAAATTGGAGTATTCTTGACCAGTGTATTCCTTTTAAATATAAGAAAACACGTAAGACACAATGTTAGGATAGGAACTTGTCTGTACAAATCACTTCTAGCACTCACAGAAATACTAGTTTCTTTTCAAAGTATAGAAACTTCTTAGAGACAGAAAAGCAATATGGACTTCAGTGCCTCTAGTTTAGGCATAAGGCTCAATTTTATTTTTTTTATTTTAGAGCTAAAATTACATAAATGAGTGTATGCGCCAATGGATATTACAAGACAGATAACTAACCAAAGTTAACTTCAAGGTTAACAAAAGAGGGAAGGAGCTCTCTTACTGTGGGAAAGGTCTTTACTCAGCTGTTTTGAGTATTCAGCTCCTCTTTCTTGGAGCTTTAGCTGAATAGGAATTGATGTATTTGGCAGGAGTGTTTTGTTGCGTAGGTTTCATTTTTAGCCTTTTACGTTAACTGGTAGTTTGAAGATGAATTAAGTTAATGTGATTAATACCTTTTGTCTAAGCATGCTTTTAAAAAACGCTAACAACATTTCGATTTGCTTGCAGAAGCGAGATGAACGCACTTTAAAAAACACAGACATCAAAGTCGTTGATTTTGGAAGTGCAACTTTTGATGATGAGCATCACAGCACATTGGTGTCTACAAGACATTATAGAGCTCCTGAGGTTATTTTAGGTCAGTAAAGACTTCTAAACCTTCTAACAGTTAATTGCAGTTCATTCAGATGTCTTTACTTCATAGACTGGAGTAGTTGCTCATGCTTCTAATAATAAAGTCATCTGTCACAGATGGTGACGTTAGAATTCTTGAGAGTAAATAGTAAAAGAAATGTTCTAAAATATTTTAGAAATATTTTAAAAACAGAAGTCCAAACATGTTTTTCTCCCACCAAGGTTTGAGGAGAAGTGTTGAGGGGAAAATGGGCATCAGTAAATGCATGGAAATTGTGCATACGCTTTCTGGATTACAACTTTTGAGAATATATTAAAAAGTAAAGCGTAAACTTTGCCTCTCTTGCAGCACTGGGTTGGTCTCAGCCTTGTGATGTTTGGAGTATTGGTTGTATTCTAATTGAGTATTACCTGGGATTTACAGTGTTTCAGGTATGTACATAAAGTCAAATTAAACGTTTTTGTTACGGACTGTTGATTTTGGTCTTGTAATGATGTGTACTGAACTATTACTGTAAAAGGCATGACCCTGCAGGCTCTTTGAGGATTATATAGGTGAGATTGTAAAGACAGCATGCATATATGAAAATTTGATATCTGGGATATCTCCTTCAGACTATTTAAGATGACCCCTTGTGGCTTTTTTTTGCATGAAGGAGCCTGTCTAGATTCTGATCATTCTGATGGAATTAAGAGTAAAGAAAACATACTCATACAGAACTTGGTTTATGAACTCTGTTGTTCAGGGGCCATCTTAACATGGATATTAAGTGCTATATAACAAGCTGCATTGCATAATCTATTTGTAATAATTTAAGTTGACAACGTATAAAGATACTGTGACAGTACTCTGGCAAACACCTTGTTTGTAGATGAGTGTGGCTACCAAGTGGCTGAGAGTAGAAAAATGTGATAACTGCATTCATTGCTTTTTCCACACAGACACATGATAGTAAAGAACACTTGGCAATGATGGAAAGAATACTAGGGCCTCTGCCAACTCACATGATCAAGAAATCCAGGTAAGTTCATTATACAAGAAGTAAGTTGCCTAGTATTTCCCTATTATAAGAGAAATCTTCAAGTTTCCATTTTTAGCTGTGAGCTTTTGAAGATCAACAAAGAGACTTCCAGGCTTCTTGTTACCTATTAGTCTATTGCAGGAAATTATGTCAGATTTAGGTGAATTAGATAGTTCACAGTAGTCCTCTTTTCTGGTTTTAGTCTGAGTTGCCAGCAACCAAAATGCCAGCTTCCTGAGCAGTAACTGAGTATTCTTAAGTCTTTAAAGCTAAATTTGATATGGTCCCAGAACAGTATTAGACATCCATTTTTCTATAAACTGAGAATGTAGAACCTGCTGTCATCAAAAGATGTGTATTAAGAGGAAAAAGAGGGTCCTGTCTTGCTAGAGGCTGCCAGCCTCTTCCACTGCCCCTTCATATCCCTCAGACATGTGCTTCAGTGATTTTTCTCTCTTCCTCAAAGATAACTATGTGCAGCAGAATTTTCCCCCTTCCATTGCGAGGAGGAGTGGCCAGCACAGGGTTTTCCCCTTACCCCCTATGTCCAAAATCCAGAGCATGAGATTTGATGGTCTGTTCCCTTTTTGAAATAAGTTGTTCTCTTGCCAGCTAATCTAGATAATCTTGTAACTCGTTTTATAGAAGAATTCCAATAATTCTGGGTTGGGTAGTGTATTTAGTTTATTACAGTTCTCCAACTGATCCATAATGCATTTTGAAAATGGAGAACAAACTTTGAAAGCTGCAATTGGAATAGATTTCAGGTAGTATTTAAAAAATAAAATGCTACTTATATAGCAGTGTTAGTGTGATGCTGAGGTGTGGATTTGTCAGAACTTTGCACTGGTAATCTTATATATTGGCAGTACAATGCTGAGGTGTGGATTTGTCAGAACTTAATTTGCACTGGTAATCTTACATATTGGCAGTACGCGTTTTAAAGATGTTTGGGAATACCTGATTTTTAAAGTGGTTAGCAACTGCAGATTTTATTAGACGTGGTTTCTTTTTTTAAAGTTGGTAGATTGACAACTTGTCTTTTTGTTAACCAAGTTGTTCTCTTGAACACCTGAAAGCATCCATCTCTTTAAATGTCAGTAACGGAAAATATGTTTTCAGTGGCTGCTTTGTTGATTGGAGTACTGAAGGACGTGTTTTCTAGATATTGTGACAATGGTAATATAAAAGCAACAGGTCTCTGAATAAATATTAGCTAAAAGAGATGTTAGCTCCCCAATGCAGAGGGATATGCAGGAACACTTACGGTGTTTCAGAACTTAAAAAAGCATCTGGCCACTTTACGCACTGACACTATCTTAAAATTATTTTCCTCGTCACGCAGAAAGCATTATTTTCACCACGACCAATTGGACTGGGATGAACACAGTTCTGCAGGACGATACGTTAGGAGACGCTGTAAGCCTTTAAAGGTAGGAGACAACATTTTTATTATTTTGTTAGATTTGCAGTTATGAAAGATCTCTCTAAAATACTTTCTTTTTTTTTCTTTCAGGAATTCATGCATTGCCAAGACACAGATCACCAAAGTCTGTTTGACCTTGTTCGCAGGATGCTGGAATATGATCCAGCCAAAAGAATTACTCTTGATGAAGCCTTGCAGCATCCTTTTTTTGAACCATTAAATAAATAAATAAATTTGAAGATCTTTTATGCTTCTCCAAGGAGATTTCCTAGACTGTGTCAGTCAACAGAGGTTGCATGAAACTTTTGTAAGCTTTAAATTATTTTGTACAGTTAAGTCTGTAAATATTTACATATGTTTTGTATAACTGTTATGTTAACCTTGTTGAACTGTTGTAGTCTTAATGGGTATCAAAGTGAAAAATAAAAGTAATTTTCATTTTTGAAAATTGTTTTTTCTTTGCAATTGTACCCCTCTCCTTTTGCAGATGGGGCTAGTTAAGCATCTGACTCGAGGTGAGGAGCCTCAAGGGCTAGCTGAGCAAGTTTTGAAAACATTGCATGTGTTTAACTAGCTTCCTTTTATTAGTCATAATAAAAGGTTTGAAGGGCTAAGGCTGCCTACTCGTGCTGTATAGGGCTTGGTGATAGCATTCTGAAACATGGTTGAAAGCAGCGTATATTCTAAGTAGGCATCTCTTTTGTGGGTCATCTTTTTCACAGATTTTCTGTTAAAGAGCGTACATTGCTCTCTGCCTGGCTGCTAATTAGTCTCTGGAAACTTGTCTGATGCTTTCAGTATTAAGTATTTATAGGGAGGTTTTTTGTTAAGATCTGAAAAGTTAACATACTTTCAGTATCATTTTGATTCATTGAATTATCAGCATTTTCATAAAATTTTTAGGACTGTACTGCCCCTATAGAAAAATGGATGCCACGGAATTGTATACTTAAACCCTTCTCTTGCAATAGTAACAAGATCATCCTGAAGTCTTCAAATCCATATTTCTGTGGAGCTCATAATTACTGATAAGTAACCTTGGCAACTCAGAAACACTGTTATCAGACTATAACATAGGAAGGAGGAGGATGAGTTCACCCCTGAACTCAGGTGCTGAGTTGAGAAGAAAATGACACTGCTTTCCAAGGTCCATTAATGCACTTTTTTTTGGTAGTTTTTGCTCTTCCATGTTTAAGTAGATGTTTAATTGGTCTTGCTCAACACTCTTTTTGTCCATTTGACACAGCATGAAGGGCTTGCTGAGCCGTGGTAGGGTTCATCCAGGCTGTCAGTGTAGATGCAGTATGCAAGTTGTGGTCATTTATTGTGGTTCTGACTTTACCATGCAAGACGTTCTTAAGGAAGGAAACAGTAAATTGTTTCAGCTCCACAGGAGCCCGACTTCAGGTTTTTTGCTGTGCTTGTACTGTGCTAATCTAATGCACAGTAAGATTTTAAACTGATGTCCTTGTTCCACTGATGTGGATGAGGCTTAATTTGCAAGAGGCTCCAGACATGCATATCTCTGACTTGGGGGTAGAATATAGCTGGGACAAGGCTTTGAAAGCTTATCTTCGGTAACCAGTGCCACCTGCTGTGCTTGATTCTATCTCATAATAGACACCCTCCTTCCTAGGATGTTGTCATTTACATCATTGTTTCTTCTCTGCATGACAGAAAACGTAACAGTTGGTACCATCTGGGTCAGCAGTGACTGCGGTGGGACTGAGGAGGACAGGAGTGAATTCCTCCCCTTGCTTCTTCCCGCAGGACTTTCTATCTTCAGAGGCAAAAGCGCTTGGCTGAGCGTATCAGCTGAGCAATGCAAATCAAAGGCAGATGGGGGGATTTATATGCTGCTGTAACTATAAAACTGTAACTGTAAAACAGTTCTATCAAAATTAGGGAAAGATTGTGTCCTCTTGGTTAAAGAGTCCTTCTAGCCTTTGTTAATGTAATTACTAAAATGCATTGCACTTGCTAAAGGAGACAGATGCTAGAAAAAAACCACATATGTATTATAAAAATCTGTTTAAATTCACTTGCCTCCTCCCAGTAAACTTAAAAAAATGCAGTCTAGATTAACACAGCATCTGCAGCGAGGTGCCAAGTCATTCTGCAGGCCTTACAGCATGTACAAAAGAAGTGTTAGTTGGAAGGGGCACAAATCTGAGGTCCCCGCACTCCCCAGCGGAGCGACGCAGCGCTGTTGGCAGTTGAGCAGCAGCCGGGTGCTGGGGTCTGTCTCTGACATGTCTGATTTCTGCTCCCTGGGCTGCCCCCGGTGCTTTTGTCTTTACCAGGAAAGGGATTTTTATGAATACCCCCACCCTGTTGTCTTGTTAATACATGAATATAATTGGGGTAGTTTTTACATGTTTGGTTCAAGCTAGTACTAACTGCCTATAGCCGTTAGTAAATAATTATGAGATCCATTCCCATCTTTCTCTGCCCTTCTGATTTTTATCTATTGTCCCTTAAAAATACGGTCTGTAAATGTGAATGGTTCAGCCAGGCTGACCAAAGGCATACATTTCTGTAACGGGTCACTTATACATGTTACTGAACATGGATGACAGGACAAGGTAAAGCTGTCTTAAGCGAAGAGAGCAGGCTTTGCCTCTGAAGTGCAAACAACGTACGAGATCCAGATCTTCAGAAGCTCAGCAGGGCAGAGGGCAGCCGAGCTGGGGGTTACGCTTCGTAGGAGAGCGGCTGGGAGCTCTGGGCAGAGGGCTGGGCAGCTGCAGTCCTCTTGATAGAGTTTGCTGGTGTCTCTGTTGTAAGGGGGGCTCAGGTCCCCTGGATGTGTTTTTAGGACAAGATGCTTTGTGCCCTGGAAGCTCCTCCAGAGAGATGGTGCTGTGCACATGCAATCGATGGAGCGTGTAAGCAAAGCCTGAGCAGGCTCAGAGAAAAGGGAGGGGGAGAAGAAGGTAAGGAAGAGGTTGCTCGCAAAAACCTGGAGTTTTCTTCTTTGTATCTTCAGGCACGTGAAGAAGAGCAGGATACAGTGGTCAGCAAATGGCACAGGTGTGCCTGGCTAGCTGGTTTGCAAATAGGGGCTGCAAAAAAGGTGTATGTATCCAACACGGCAGTGTAGCTGTCTGTGTGTGCGTGTTTCATTAACAGGAGATGCTGACACCACTCGTAGGAGGGTTTTCTAACTCTGTCCTGGGCTTCACCCACCTCTTCTAGAAGTGAGAATTCCTGCTCGAAAGGCAGGGTCTGTGGCCAGGAGACAAAGAGTATCTTTGGATTGTATAGGATGCGCTCAGGCTCTAGATAGGCATTGAGTTATCCGAGGGTGTTACATAGGTGAGTTAAGAGTTGACGTGATGCAATCTGTAACAGCGAAGAAAAGGCAAGGATGTTTGGCAAAGTCTGGGGGTTCTTATTGCTTTTATGTGAGTGTAGTTTCTCTCATTCCAAGGCTCCCTAAAGCAGATGGGGCACTTCACTGTGATAGAACCAGCGAGTTACGGCGCGGGGTGGAAGGCTTTGCAGACAAGGTCTTTTCCCTAAAGCGCATCACAGCCCAAACGGGGGCTGCGGCACCGAAAGAACCAAAAAAACCCCCACGAGGGCTGACACCTCCGACAGGTCCCGCTCCTGCGGGGGGGTGTGGGAGGCCGTTTCGCAGCGCGGTGCCCCCCCGGGGAGGCTGGGCGCAGCCGGCTGCCCGCCGTCCCGTCGAGGGGGGAAACCCGCTCCGTCCGCCCCGGCCCC